TTGTCCCCAAGAGGGGCATAGTCATCAAGGTCTGATGTTTGTCTCCAATAGGAGCTTAGTTATGAAGGTCCGATGTTTGTCCCCAATAGTGGCTAAGTCCTGAAGGTCTGACATTTGTCCCTAATAGGGGCTCAGTCACAAAAGTCATCAACTGCTTAACTAACCCCCGATTGGGGACAAATTTCAGAGGACTAGGAGAGAGACTTGTGGAGAGTAATGTGCAATACTATAGCTTTGTAAATCTGCTTGATGTAAATCTGCTTGAAATAAAGTTTATTGGATTCAAAGAAAAAAACAATGGGGAATTGCAACGTTATCATTTATATTTCATACAAATTGATAAAATGGTCATATTGGTTTACCCGACTATGACATATTTTTGCATTAGGGTTGCATCCCATTTAAGTTTGTCATACCTTTTATATTCCATTACCCTTAAAGTAGCGCTTCCCGTAAACACCCATCTACAAAGCTGCCAAAAGGATAGCAATCTGCAGAAATTGCAGCAATTTTCTTTGCTCGTAAATACGGAAAATTGAAAGCATTTGAGTAAATTTGTGGCTCCGTAGCCTGGAGGAAGGGAGCATTGTGCTTGTCCCACTTCACATCCTGGCAGACAAATTCGAAATACATCCATGACTTATACTGACTTCCCTTATTAAGGCAGAGGGAGCAGTGTGATCAGTGCGCAAATCCCCAGCCATAAACCATGATTAATGTTTAAATGTTATTGGACATGGGGAGGGGGGGGTTGCTGCTGGTCTTTACATATCATGATCGCTCTGTGTGCTGTGTAGAACATGGACTTTTCAAAATAAAATGTTCTATTTAGATACCGGCAGACATTTATGGTAATATGCTAAGTACATTATTTTATATAATGATTTGCTTTTTTGGTTTAAGAAAATGAAAGTTGTTTCAACTCCATGGAATGCAACGTTGTCCACCCAGTTGTACGATGCGGCCATGAAATGGTGTTTCTTATGAACGTACATTTGCCTTGTGCAAACAGGCAGTCTTGCCCTATGGTGGTAGGACAGGGGAGCACTTGGGTGATTGATTGAATTAATAATGATTGGTTGGGTAAATTCAGCCTGACCAATCACTTAATTCCCCTTGGCCTGGGGATGTCTTCCAGGGTGTTGGGGAAGGCTTACAGACATAACTTTGTTGTCCAATCCAGCTATAGCTGTTCAGATTGCATGAATATTCTCTAATGTCTGTGGGTGCATCAGTGACGTGCCATGCCTTCTGTGCTGGGTGAGGCATCCCCCAGCCCACCGAAACTCTGCTCCATTCCACCAAAGCTCCGCCCCATCCCGACGAAGCTCCACCCCATCCAGGCGAAGCCCCAGCTTGTTAACCAAGCTGTGAGGGGAGGAGACGGGAGGAGCCTCCATGTCCCTCACTTGCTCGTCACTGCTGAGGCATCGAGATCGATGGCCTCATTGGGTTCTTTTTTTTGATTGGACAGCTTGGGCCAATGACGCTTTGCTATTGGTCCAAGCCATCCACAGAGCTCACGCCTCTAACACAGAGTAGAGGCTGTGACAGCTCTTGCCTCACCAAGTTAGGTTACACAAGCAGTGGGGAAGCCCGCTGCTGTGTAACCTACCTGTCAAAAGCCGGATGCAGCGCCGCCTGTAATCAACAGGCAGCGCTCCGTCCATGACAGGTTACACAGCGGGGAGGATTTCTCTGCTGTGTAATCTGCTAGAAGCCGATCTGAATGGAGAAAAAGCTGTCAGCTTCAGACTTGAAGCTGACACCTTTTTTCTTCATAATACTAGGTGAGGTTCAGCCCCACCTGCCTCCCCTGACCGCACGTCCCTGGGGGTGTATTATAATTCCCAGATCAAGCTGAACTCAGACCTTTCTTTCAGTCTTGCACAGTTGTACTGGCTTCTGGACTGAAATTGCTTTCTCTGGTTTCATTGTGAGCTACTCACAAGCTGCATTAGAAGCCGCAGCACTTCAGATTAAGCCCACCTCATTTCCTGGCTGGAGGACGTCAAACATTATCAAGCACTTTCCTTCCCAGCTTTACTGTCCACGGTCCACCCCTTTCACCCATTGGATTTCTGTTTTTTCAATCATGGAGGCTCAGCATCACATGTGGGCTTCATGTTTTCAGGAAGCTTTATACAGCACCCTGCCAACCCCTCCCACCAGCCATGGGAAGCACAGAGACCCAGTGAGGACATCACTGGGTTAAAAAATAACATGTAATGAAACTGGAAAAGTTTTATTCAGTCATTTCATTAGCATGTTTATGACCGGGGGGGGGACAACGAGAAACCAGGGAAGGAAAAATGTACATTTAAACTTCAGCTTTAAATAAAACACAGGAGGCCCGTGTGAATGAGGGCTAAGTATGTGTTGCTGTATTTTACATACAGATATGCTTTTTATACTCACTATGGGCAGGCACTAGTTCCAAGACGGTGGGCTGGTAGACATTATTGGGGGGTGTTTGTGGGAATATAGCCAAAATAACATTTGTGAGGTCAGGTACTATCACGTACCTGAGGCAGAGACCGGAAGACGAGGAGGCTTCTCTTGCGGATCGTGTCCTGCAACCCCTGGAGTTGGAACAGAAGGCTGCAGGACAGCGAGGAGCATAAGCGCCACGGATGGAAGAAGACACCGTGCAGGAGACGTATTATAGCGAAGTCAGCAGGCCAAAGGTCACAACCGGGCGGGCAGCGTGGGAACAGATTTGGGAGACAGGAATTGTGGTCCAGGAAGCCAAGGATCAGAGCCAGCCGGGCAGCAAGGTACCGAATCAGAAGGCAAGAGCGAAGTCCAGGAAACAGGCCGAGTTCAGGGGCAGGCAGCAGAATGGTCCAAGACAATTTCCTGGCTGGAGGACGTCAAACATTATCAAGCACTTTCCTTCCCAGCTTTACTGTCCACGGTCCACCCCTTTCACCCATTGGATTTCTGTTTTTTCAATCATGGAGGCTCAGCATCACATGTGGGCTTCATGTTTTCAGGAAGCTTTATACAGCACCCTGCCAACCCCTCCCACCAGCCATGGGAAGCACAGAGACCCAGTGAGGACATCACTGGGTTAAAAAATAACATGTAATGAAACTGGAAAAGTTTTATTCAGTCATTTCATTAGCATGTTTATGACCGGGGGGGGGACAACGAGAAACCAGGGAAGGAAAAATGTACATTTAAACTTCAGCTTTAAATAAAACACAGGAGGCCCGTGTGAATGAGGGCTAAGTATGTGTTGCTGTATTTTACATACAGATATGCTTTTTATACTCACTATGGGCAGGCACTAGTTCCAAGACGGTGGGCTGGTAGACATTATTGGGGGGTGTTTGTGGGAATATAGCCAAAATAACATTTGTGAGGTCAGGTACTATCACGTACCTGAGGCAGAGACCGGAAGACGAGGAGGCTTCTCTTGCGGATCGTGTCCTGCAACCCCTGGAGTTGGAACAGAAGGCTGCAGGACAGCGAGGAGCATAAGCGCCACGGATGGAAGAAGACACCGTGCAGGAGACGTATTATAGCGAAGTCAGCAGGCCAAAGGTCACAACCGGGCGGGCAGCGTGGGAACAGATTTGGGAGACAGGAATTGTGGTCCAGGAAGCCAAGGATCAGAGCCAGCCGGGCAGCAAGGTACCGAATCAGAAGGCAAGAGCGAAGTCCAGGAAACAGGCCGAGTTCAGGGGCAGGCAGCAGAATGGTCCAAGACAATCCAGGTCAAAACAGGTCACAGGCAAATCAACAGGAAGCAGAAAACAGGAAGCACTAGCTAATAAGGCCATCAGCAATGTTGTGATCTTAGGCTCGTTCTTACATAGCCACCTATGAGGTAAGATGTAATTTCCTGTGCGCCTGCCTTTTGCGCGTCTTCCCACGCACTTTCGGTTGTGCGCGTATGCGCACTACAGTCCGTCTTAAGAGATGGGGTCTTTGCATTTTACCGCCATTTTACCATTACAGGTACTCATGTTGGATGAGAAGACCTGTCTCACAATCTGTATTCCAATTCATCACAGAAGTGTTCAGTAGGGTAGAGGTCAGGGCTCTGTGCAGGCCACTTGAGTTCATGTCTTTATGGAGCAGGCTTTGTACAGTGGACCGTCATGTAGGAACAGAAAAGGGGCCTTCACCAAACTGTTACCACAAGGTTGGCTTGTGTGACATAAACAGTTCTCTTCACCTGAACATAATCCATGCCACAAGCACAGCCATATTAGTTAATTATATATGCGTCGTTGTGCTCCCTGCGTCGTTGTGCTCCCTGCGTCGTTGTGCTCCACTGCATCTCTCTTTCAGTGCTCTCTGTGGGCCAGGTCTTACTGATTGAAAACAATGCTGTCTCTGAGGTTTTATCTTGTAAGCTTTTGATCTAGGTGACTGAGCGATTGCAGTG